TTTTGACTCTAGTTTGGGAGTTAACTATTTGCCCATAGCTGGGACCTTAACAGGTGCTACTACCCTAGGTCAGGGTGGACCTGGGTACACCAGCAATTAAGAGATAGTTCCATGCCCCTCCTCCTGATCAGAGACCTTGCTGTTGAACATATTTTATCGTCTTACCCAGGACACTGTCCATTCTGGGTATATAAGTGAAATATGCTCACTGAGTACTCCACACTCTTGGCCGTGTGCCACATCTAAGCTACGCTTAGAAAATCATTGTGGGCAACTCAAGGTGGTGTAATGGTTAGCAAGCTTATCTCGCTAGAACAATTATGACTAAGTAGTGAGTTCGATCCTCACTGGGTGCCCCCTACTTTTGACCTTGTGCCACATTTAAGCTACGCTTGGAAAATCAATATAAGCGAAATATACACATGCAGAAATCAGTTTACTGAGAGACTGTAAGAGTATGTGCCTCAAAATAGAACGCACATGGAAGAAACTGGCAGCCACGCCCTTGCCCATCGTGTATTAGAGAAAATTAATTGTAGAAGTCATTCGTTTCCAAGACATTAATACTTCTGTATTTCTTAACAAACAGAATTCTCTCTGTACCTCAAGGGTAGAAAAGAGGTGACTGGGACGAAACAGCCCCATAGCTGTTGTATGATCTTTAAATTTCACCTTTAAATAAATTAAGATAATTAAATTAAAAATTAAGATAATTTTTGAACAGTGCTGTTTCTTTGGATTCTGCAAGATTGCCCGATATTGAAGAGACACTACGATGAAAGTATTGCCCAGAACAACAAAAGTCACTGCCCATCAAGGGGAGGGAGGGGAATAAAGGACTGTGCTGAACCTTAATTTCTGGAAGATACACAATGAACAAAATCAAATAGACATTATGAATTCCATTGAAGGAAACGAACCAACAAAATCGATCATACAAAACACAAGCTACCTTCACCAAAGTACCCACTCATGATATTCAAAACCCAGACAGGGGTGTTGAATTTGGTGATCAGTACTGGTTATGTCTGGGAGTTACAACTAGGCGTTGGCTTTTAACACTATTAGGATTTGAATCGCAAATAATTTCCTTTTTTTTTTTTTTTTTTATCAATTCTATTTTGCAAAAAAAAATAATTCCAATTACATTGTATTCAATGGTACGGGGTGAGACAAATGTTGCACACCATAGAGGTTAATTAATTAATCAGGTTTTACATGTCTAATTTGTTTTGATATATTATTTTGTGGGGTTATTTGAAATCAGTTGCTTATCAGACATGCCCAAGAAATCTTGAGGAACTTAAAGAATTAAATGCAGTAAAATATGAAAGGAAACTCTCCGACATATTAATGAATCATGCAGTTGCAGAACTGAAATGTGTTTTGAAAAAAGAGAGGGACATTTTGAACAGCACATTTAACAATTAAATAACTAGTAAATAAAATTTTCATGTGTACTTTTAACTTTTAATAAGTCATCTCTATAGTGCACAACTTTTGCCTCACCCTGTATATTAGCCATTATTTGCAATGACACGTTAACACTTATCAAGCAGGTTTTTCATAACTTTTGAGTAAAATTCCAAAATTTTTGATGTGAAAAGCTTTTTGACGAATGCTTGAATCGGGTTTTCATTAGAGAAAGTTTTCCTCATCAAAGCATTTTGCAGCAATTGAAAAAGGTAAAAATCAGTTTGTACAAGATCAGGTGAATATGGCAGGTTAGGCATATAAAGAGCTCACCCCAGGCAAAGCCTTCACCCCACCCTTATTAGTAGAATCAGTGCTAGCCAAATGCTATAAGAACGAATAAAAAATGACAGAACCACATCTTGCACATTTATAAATCTGCCATTAGTCAATGTATTGAATACAGCTGCCATATCTGGTCTTGTGGTCCTGCTGTGCATCCAGATATTCTTGACCCCCCAAGATCTGCAATGCAATTGATCCTGACCAGGCATTTCAACTTCAGTCACTTTCACCAATGTGATGTTACCAGAAAATTTGGTACAGTTTATTTTTAATTGTTGGAATTTTTCTTACATTTATTTGAAACAAAAGCAAAGGATAGAAATTTAGTCGCTTAAAACAGAACAAAAAACGCAAATGTTAGATGTGACATTCAAACTAAAAAGTTCATTTATTTTTATATGTTACTTAATATTTTTTCATCATATAGTAAATCTACAATTTACTGTTTATTTTTTTTTTTGTGGGGCACCCTGTAGTAAATAAAATTTTCATGTGCAATTATACTTTTAATAAATCATCTCTATGGGGTGTGACTTTTCTCACCCTTTATATTTACCTTTATCTCCAATGACTTACTGACACTTATCAGGTGGGTCTTTCATACCTTTTGAGTAAAATTCCTCCAGTTTTAATGTGAAAAGGTTTTCGATGAATGCTTGAATCTAGTTTTCATTAGAGAAAGTTTCCCCCATCAAAAGCGTTTTGCAGTAATCGAAAAAGATAACAATTGGTTGGTGCACGGTCAGGTGAATATGGTGGGTTAGGCACATAAAGAGCTCACCCTGCTCCCTCCCACCATTAGTAGAAGCAGTGCTAGCCAAATGCTATAAGAATGAATAGAAAATATCAGGATCCCATCTTGCACATTTATAAATCTACCATTTGTCCATGCATTGAATACTGTTGCCATATCTGGTCTGGTGCTCCTGCTGTATATTAAGATATTCTTGACAAAATCCAAAGAAAGATCTGTTATGTAATCAATCCTGATCAGGTATCTTGACTTCAGTCACTTTCTTACAAATGTAGTGTGGCTTCCTTCTGTCTTTTCTACAAATATTTTCATATTAACTGCTCTGACAAGCTTTTTTCTCCTGGTGCCCAAACTAAATAATTTTAAGTGCGCTACTAGATTGGCAACTAGGTCCCACCCTTTCACAGTTGAAATAGCTAAATGCAGTCACCATTTCTACTCCAACAGTTTCTTTTCTCACACTTCCCACCTGTGTAACTGCATTGTTTCCTTGCTTCCCTGATAACTACAATTTTCAAAAATTTAAATGTAATGTCAATCGCCATCTTCTGTCTTCTTGAATTCCGTTTTGTCCTTTCCTCAATTCTCCCTATTCTCAGTTTTCTCTTTCACTCTCTGTAACCCCCTGTGTATTAGTGGCATTTCTGCCTTGCTTGGGATGAAATGATATAGAGAGAAAAAAGTCCTCCTGTAAAATATTTGGTTTGTCAATAAACTGTGTTAAGTGTTGCTCAGCCTCGAGTTTCCTTATTGAACCTGTTCATTACAGGATTGAACAGACCAAACAAGTTTCAAAATCTTTCCCTGTGTTATTCTTGCTGTGGCCTTGTGTTGTCATGAAGGAGAACAACCTTTTTCCTTTAATCCACTGTGTACGCTGCCATTGCCACACAACAACTAATGTATGTTAGTGTATTCCAAATTTATTCTTAACTGCCACCATAGGATTAAGAGTTAGGGTAATATATACATCATTATAATTGGTTAACAAAAATGGATATTACTTATGACTAAACTATATATATAAACCAGGAAAGAGAATTTGAAGTGTCTTAAAAGCTCTTTCACAATTTAAATGTATTTTTAAAAACACTGGAAATACAAAGAAACTAGTGTCAAAAGGATGTTTTTTCCCCATGACACCACTTTTTTAACTACCGTCACTCTTTGGCAATGTTTGTCATTAAAAAGCAAGGATTGAAATTTTAATAAAACCTACACATATGATGAAATGAATTTATACATTTTCTTTGTTCTTGAGAATTGACAACTATTTATTTATTAGATTATTTATAAGAATAATTTTATATTTACAAATTCTAAATGCAATCAGAACTATGCAATATTTATGATATACCAATTTATATAGCAATAAATACAAAAACAATTTTTTTATTCATAAATTTATAAACCTTTACTAAATTATTAAAATATGTGAGTCAACTATAAGGACATCTTTATTTATCATTTTGTAAAGTTTGAATCAATTGGCAATTTGCCAATTGTTTTGCCAACAATCCTAATAAACAATAAATTAATAAAATTATTTAATAATAAATAAATAAAGAAATAAAGTGTTTGTTATTTTTGTTGGCAATTTTCAAGAACAAGGAAAATGTGTAAATTCACTTTCATCATATGTGTAGATCATTACAATTCTAATCATTATTTTTTAAAACAATAAACACTGCCAGACATGGTGGAGTAATGGAGAGTGGCTCAGATTGTGAAATCAAAGAGCCGAGTTCAAATTCCAGTTGAATCCATTACATTCACTTATGTGCTAATACCCTTGGGAAAGGTATGAATCCTCTTCTTTTCCTTCCCAGTTATGGGTAAATAGCAGAACAGACAGAATAGCATTTGATCGCAACTGGTCTACTGCAGAAAGAAATGGCAACCTACTGCGGAAATAAATCTGCCTTGTCAGTCATGTATCAAAAGATACATGATCACCTAAGCATGTATCATGTATGTATCACTAACTGATCTATCTACCTATCTCAACGTGTTTACAAACATCTATCTATCTCAATCTCTCTATATGTATATATGTTTCTGTTTATCTCAGCCTGTTTACATCTAAGTTGATCTGTCTACATTAGTCCATCTCTTTCTCTGTCTATATTAGCCCATCTCTCTCTCTTTCTCCCTGTCTCCCTCATCATGCTTAAATACGTTGGAGTAATGGATAAACTGCTCGGATTGATGAATCGGAGAGCCGAGTTCGAATTCCAGTTGAATACATTACATTCACTTACGTGCTTATACCATTGGGAAAGGTATGAATCCTCTTCTTTTCCCTCCCAGTTATGGGTAAATAGCAGGACAGACTGGGTTCTATAACCTTGGATGGCAACTGGTCTACTGTAGAAAGAAATGGCAACCTACTGCGGGAAATAAATCAGCCTTGTCAGTCATGTATTGAAAGCATGTACTTAAGCATCTGACATATATGGCACATAACTAAATGATCTATCTATCACAGTCTCTTCATATCTATCTATCTCAGTCTCTTCACATCAATCAATCTATCCAAGCCTGTCCATATCTATCTATCTAAACATGTTTACATACATACATCTATCTATCTCAACCTCTACATATGTATATATGTTTCTTTTATCCATCTCAGCCTGTTTACATCTATCTATCTTTCTAAGTTGATCTGACTATATTAGTCTACCTCTTTTTCTATCTTAGTCCATCTCTCTCTCTCTCTTTCCCCTGTCTCTCTCATCATACTTAAATATGGTGAAGTAATGGATAAACCGCTTGGATTGAAGAATCGGATTGGGAAAGGTATGAATCTTCTTCTTCTCCCACCCCCACCCAAGCTATGGTTCTATAGCCTTGGATGGCAATTGTTCTACTGCAGAAGGAAATGGCAACCTACTGTGAGAAAAAAAAATCTGCCTCGTCAGTCATGTATTGAAAGATACATGATCGCCATGTATCACGCATGGCACATAACTGACTGAAACATTGCCAAAGTGTAGTTAAAATAAAAGTGGTGTCATAGAAAAAAAATATCCTTTTGACACACTGTTTATTGTGGCACGTTTATTCATGTTTGCCCCAATCATTTATACAGACTTGTGGAAAAGTCCTTGGTGTGATAAAGACACTTTCGTAAAAAATATTTCTGATGTTTAGTCATTTGGTTAGATTTCAGAGAAACCATAATACCAGTTTACTAGTACAACATTCTGGTATCAGTGGCAAGTTGTCAGGGTTGAACAGGTTGGAAAGACATTTTCTGTTATTTAAAACTATTGGATTGAGTTGTGAGATTTTATGGTATATCAACTCATTTTTTTTTACATGTCAAATCAGTTTTTTTTTTTTTAAACATACTTGAGTCTATAGGTAAACATTGGTTGGGATCATACTCAACTTGATGGGGAATAGTGGCAAAGCTCATACTCAACTTGATGATGGGGAATAGTGGCAAGGCTCATACTCAACTTGATGGGGGAATAGTGGCAAGGCTCATACTCAACTTGATGGGGAATAGTGGCAAGGCTCATACTCAACTTGATGGGGGAATAGTGGCAAGGCTCATACTCATACTCAACTTGATGGGGAATAGTGGCAAGGCTCATACTCAACAGTGAACGAGTTGTCATTGGGTGCATATTCAATTTGATTGGTGAACGTTGTCTAGCATCATGCTCAGCTCTGTGAGTGAATGTCAGCCAGGGTCGCACTCGGCTCATTGAGCAAATGTTGGCTGCCATCACACTCACCTTGACATACAAACATTGGTCAGGCTCATACTCAACTCTATGAGTAAGCATTTGTTAGGCTTATACAAAAGTCTATAGGTAGAGTTTAAACTTGAGTCTTTGGGCAAACACTCATCCAGTCTATTACCTCACTTGAAAAGGGTCTTATTCTCCTGTAGGTCATACATTTAACACATTGTAAACTCTACAACAGGGCAAAGGTTAACAGTCTAAACAAGACAGTTTCTCCTATTTGAACATATTGTATGGTGTAGGATATGTAACCAAGTAATCCTGATAATTACTTTTTAAGTGATTTATCATCCTTCAGTGTTAAAACGCAGAAATCCAACTTAATGATTTTCTTTTCCATACAAAAGTTAAGACTAAAAGTTGCTACTGTCAATGAGAAAGATCTTGAAGACCATAAAAGTTTCTTTTCTTATCCCTCCACAGCCAAAACTGAACCAAGTAATGCTTTAAAAATAACCAGTTTAAATATGTAGGAAAATGTGACAACAAAACCCTGAGGCAAATTTGAATAGCAAAAGATGCCTTCCAAAAGCTAAGTAATATATTAAGAAAATTTTGTTAGAAACAAAAAGAAAAGAGTACTGAACTGTTATGTAATATCAGTTCTCTTGTGAATGCTGGCCAATCTTCTCACAGATGAAGAAACTTGAGTCAACAGAAATGTGGTTCTACAGAAGGATGCTGAGAATATATGTAGTGAACATGCGAGCAACAATAAAGTTTTAAGAAAAATGGAAACAAAATAAGACAGGGAAATTGTCTCATCCTTACTCCTATGGCATCCTTCTGGAAGTGTCTTCATGAAAATTGACTTTCCCAGACACCATAACTTGGGACTCAGGGTTGGACACTGGGGATCTGGAGACAGCAATACATGACCAAACAGTGTGGAAAGGGATTGTCAATGGAGTTCTAACCAACCATAGGGAGGTCGGATGATGATGAGAGAAAGAATCAGAAAGAGATAATTGAAATTTCATAATGAGGAAAGAGGGCTTGGAGAATTTGACACTTACAGGACATATAGAAAAGGAGAGGAAAGCAGTAGGTAATCTAACAGGCTTGTGTAAATGGTTGGACTGGAGAGGTAAAAAGGCAAACTTTACTAAGAACCACAAAGGGTAGGATGTTGTGGAGAGCCATGATGGAAATTCTTGACATGCAAAATTTTGCAGATCCTTCTTTGTATTTCACACCTGTTTAAAATGCTTGTTTTTGTCCTATAGGAAAATCCAAGATGCCGCTTGAATGAAATATTCAGAGAAAAATCCCATTCGTCAGTAACATTTTAAACCCCTTATAGAATGTTAAGTTCTCAAAGCAAACCTGTGCCAAACTGTTTTCCTGAATCCTTGATGATTTAGCTGTCTGAAAATGACAACATCAAGATGAAATAATGGAAACTAAGCATGGAAAACAATTATGTGCAACAAGTTTTTGATCAATCAGTTAACTTCTAGATGTTTTCAGGCCATGTTATAGGATCCAGATGGCCATTGTTTGCACATGGAATTATTCATCTTCGATTTGGCTGTGAAAAAAATGTCACTTGGGGTTAGCATGAAAAAATTATGGCAAATTACAGCAAAAAATTACTTTTTTTTTATGAAACTTTCTCTCTAAGTTGGGGTGAACATCATTGAATAAAGCAAACTGCTATATGACCCTGACAATGGGAAGTACAAAAAGACATAAAGTATTGTTGTCATCACCTGGGTCATGAGGTGTTAAAAACAAAACATATCAAGCCATTGTTTAAACATAGGTTTGAAAAAAAAGAAAGAAAAAAAAACACATATCAAGTCATTTTTACCAATATTTTCTCTTTTTTTTCACTCTTTGCTCTTATCTTGTAAGTGGTGGGATTTACAAGTTGACAATGACAGCTTGTTCTATCAGTTATCGCTGGTTGGCTGGCCTTTGACCCAGACATGTCAAAGTCAATTTGGTTTAATTTTCCTTATTGCAGCTATTTCTTTAAAAAAAAAAAAAAAACTCCTGGTTCCTGGTGGTCAGGAATTGAGGATAAATCTTTCTGCCTTTTACTAAAAGTTTCCATGGCCAGGTGTCAATTTTTTAACCCCTGGTGGCTATATAATTGGAAATTATCAATCTTTCAATTTTATGCCTGAAATAGTTTGATTATAATTTAGGCTTTCTGATTTAAAAGAAAAAAAAGAAAAAAAAAAGGTTAATTTCCATTGGGGAAATTTTTTGTTTAGAACTAGAAAAAAAATGCAAAATTTTCTCTATTTTCTCACATTTTAACCCCTGAAAAAATTTTGGATTAATTTACACCAGCCAATTTTACTTTTAAATGAAAGAACATATTGTTTGCTTTCAGAAAATACCTAATTTGATGGGGTTCAGATCATGATAAAACGGCCATTTTCAATATTTTAACCCTTATAAAAGTATGAAAATCCATTTTTTCAGTGAAAATTAGCTATGACAAAATGACTTGCCATTTTTGTGATGATTTTTACTTGGGATAGAAATTTTTTTACCATAGCAAACCTGAATTGAATTTAAGTTTAGAGGGGTTATAGGAATGCTTAAACAGCTGTGATTTATGCTTTGCGAATTTCTGTTCCTTGTTGTCACAGAAGAGTTCGCTGATATCTTCCATCCATCTTTAGCATTTACCCTCCTAATTTCTTTCTAGAATTGTTCCACCTGTCGCTGCAGTTTTTTTGAGGGTGCAAAAACATGAATACCTACTGTTTTAAAATTGTTATAACTTTCTTTCTATTGTGTATATAGATTTTAATTTTTGTATATTAATAAAAGAATGAATGAGTAATATTTTGATGTAATGCATTACGTTTTACATGCATGTTTTGGCGTTGAAAAAAAAAAAAAAATTGAAACGTGAAATAAAAAAATATGAAATAAAAAACAAATACATTAAAAAAATACATAGATAATTCAACAACATACTTTAACTTTTATTACTCCTTGTGGAGTTCTGGGAATGCAATAAGAAGCAAAATCACTAAAAAGGCTTTCATTTTGTCAAAAAAGTGACATGTTTCCTTGTGTTTAAATACAAGAAGACACTAGCATTTGTTTGCTCTTTCTTCCACCTGACTCATATTTATGTGTCCTGTTGATGAATAAAGTTATTATTTCGTCATTTATAAATAGACAAAATAACCTTCAGAAATGCTATCAGATATATCAATGGTCACCAGCAGCTTCCATAAAATTAGTCAGGCATAGATGATAGTAGCCGTTAGTGGTCATCATAGCTTTCCTTCATGTCACTTGTGTGGTTATCATCTGTGACCACTGTCAATATCCACTCGAGTAAAGCCTTCAAAATCATCATCGGAGTCCTAATAAAAGAAAAACTCCTGAATAAAGGCTTTCTTGGATATTGACGTGGCCCTGTTTACAAAAAAATTAATGTCACCTCAACTAGAGTCTAGAAGAATTCAAAATGGTGTTGGAAAATGCAAGTTTAGCCTTGTTCCAAAACAGTAGCATGCGATTTCCAGCATAAAATACCAGAAATAACAGTTGACAAGTGTTTATTTACAGCAACCATCTCAGGTGACAGAAGTTGCTGATAGTAGTAAGGGACAGAATTTTATGGCAACTATTGTCACCTGGGGGGTAAAATATTAAAACATCTACTCCTTTTTCTATTAGGAGCATTCCTTTTTAGATCTTATGCATTCTCCTCTCCAAGAGACATCACTCTTATTTCTTCCATCGTCTATATTAATAAATGCTGTAGCCCAATATATCATAACATTTTGGAATCAGGCCAACTTCAGGAGCAAATTAAAACATTCTGATCTGGATCTGTAATCCTGAAATTTTGGATTCCCAAAGTGAGCAACAATGAGGTCTTAGAGAGGAGAAGGCCTATACTTAACATCAGAAAGATGCAGCTGAAGTTTCTGGGATACATAATGAAGAAAGAGGGCCTGGAAAATCTGATACAGTGTAACCCGGATATAAGAGAGTTGTCGGGACCGGAGAAGT